CCCCCCCCCCCCCCGGAGGGCCCCCAAAAAAAGTTTTGGGGGTTAGGCTGACTCTTATGGCTCCCCATAGTTGGCCCGACGGATTTTTTTTGACGGGCATACCCCCCCCCCCCTGATTTCGACCAAACGACAGACCTCTCACCACATCACCACAGAGTTCTCCCTCCATGATTGTCGGGTCGTCACCAGAACTTGAAGGCTGTACGCACCACACCTGTAGGCGTCTTTGAAGCTAGTGGTGACTGCTGTTGGGTCTGTGTGTGCAACCAAACTATCGTATGGAATCTCCCACGGATCCTCCAGACGGATTCTTACTTTTGCTCACATGGATTGACATTTCTCAGCACACACAGACCCAACAGCAGTCACCACTAGCTTCAAAGACGCCTACAGGTGTGGTGCATACAAACTATCGTATGGAATCTCCCACGGATCCTCCAGACGGATTCTTACTTTTGCTCACATGGATTGACATTTCTCAGCACACACAGACCCAACAGCAGTCACCACTAGCTTCAAAGACGCCTACAGGTGTGGTGCGTACAGCCTTCAAGTTCTGGTGACGACCCGACAATCATGGAGGGAGAACTCTGTGGTGATGTGGTGAGAGGTCTGTCGTTTGGTCGAAATCAGGGGGGGGGGGGTATGCCTGTCCAAAAAAATCCGTCGGGCCAACTACGGGGAGCCATAAAAGTCAGCCTTAGGTGTCGGAAAATGTTTTTTTTGTGCGCCCTTGCAAACACACGTTTTTTTTTTTTGTTTCTTGCTGACACGTGCACCCGTTGGTTCGCGTCCGAGTTTTCTTCGGGGTATGACGTCGTACTCCAAGTTTACGTGTTATGCCCGTGCTAGGCTGTCTGTCCGCGCGGAGAGACATGCGCGCGCGTCGTGTGTCGGATGGCACTGCTGTATGGTTCCGTTGCGAACGATGCAGCACTGTTGGCTCACGCACGAATGTGCTTGTGGAACACCGCTCGGTGTTCGGTTTGTCCACAACTCTGGGGCGCACATGGCTGCTTGGTCTCACACATGTATGTCTGCCATACACACTGATGAGGCGGCCTGGGGTCGCACCACGAAGGAGTGCCTCCTTCTTGTTGTGTGGTTGTTGCTTCAGCTACACTCTCGTTTTATACAATTCGGTGCGCGCACCGTTCGTTGTGTTGACGTTCTCCCATGAAGGTCACACAATCAACACAATTCACTCGTTTGACTGCGGGTCGCCGGACACAGACAGCTTGTTCTCTGATGACTGTCTTGTTCGTTTTGCACTGATACGGTACAGCTGTTGTTGCACATAAGACGCCGACGTTGCTGTCAGACGTTCCACAGTTAGTTACGTCTCGTCGTTGGATGTTGCAAACTATTGCAAACCGTTGTGCCGCTCTCCGATCCCTCTTGCACACGCCGTGTCCTCACGGTGCTCACGACTGTCTTACTTCGTTTGGACTGAGTGCGGCTGCACACGCACGCCGGAACGGTTGTTGCCTTTCCCTTGATTGTTATCGATACAATAGTTTCACCTTGCTGTTGTAAAGGGTTAATTTGCTGTTGTTTACATTACAGCCATGTCTATTTGCATGCGCAGTTGTTGTGCTCACGAATGTTTTGTTCGATTTGGACGGATCGACTGCTGATCGCTGCTGCACACGCGCTGATGGGGTGGTCAGCACCTTGACTCTTACGTCTTGATGGCTGTGCAGCTACGCGCGCTTCTCTTTAGAAGACTACGAGGGAGGTCTGGTCGTACCATACGTTTGCACTGCGATGTCGGTTGGCATGTATGTGTACATTTGTACTGTATGGATGTCGGAAGATGTTCCGCAGGCCTCTTTGGCACGGAAACATCTGCTACATGTATTCTGCGGACACTTAGACTATGCATATATATGTACGGTCTTATGTTTTTTTGTGGCACAGCAGGTGACTGATTGCTTCATGGCAGAACAAAAATAACCAACAGACGGTTTGCATACATATATATGTACGGTCTCATGGTTTCTGTGGCACAGGTGACTGGTTGCTTCTTGGCAAAAAAAAAAAAAAAGGTGCCACACACAAAACGCCCGACCAGTACCTAACACCTACAACACATTTAATTTCCTCTGCACCGTCCCAACATAACATATATATGAGACACACAAGACAGCTACCAAACTGTCTTGTTGAGCCTGTTACCCACAGGGAAGATGTCCCTATATGCTGTCTGGGAAACCGTAGACATACAGGTACTTTCTGACGCTCGCTATGAATTCATTGCTAATCTGTCTCAGACTCTTTTCTATGATAGAGATGGATTCGTTGTGTCATATCATGCAAATAAATAAATAACCAACAACAGACGGTTCTTGTCGGCGTTTCCACAACCAAACATGGCTATTGGGTGTTTCAGCACCTAGTGTCTACAGATGGCGCCCGCACTTAAGAACGTCTTATTTGGCGTGAGGCTCGACGCTTATTGGCTGCCTCAACCCGAGCACATGTTCTTGTGGCCATGTTCTTATTCCGACCAGACATTTGGTCCCTGAAAACGGGGTTCTTGTTCTTATTTCAACGTCGAGTTCTCCAGAGGCGCACCACGACGCCCTTTGGTGACTCGCAGCTATGTACATAGATAGATAGGACGTGAAAAATTGGCGTGTAATTTAATGCGGAACACTTAGTTGCATCATCCCCATACAGCAAGTCCATACTTCGCCGTACCATGCCCATACTATCCATTTATCAGGCACCAAGACTACTGGCCGTTGACTTGCCAATTGCTTGTACAGCAGACTTCGACTGGATCACGCACCGCAGCAGCTATGCTCGCGGTTGAGTACAAATACGGAAGCAAGCTCCGAAGGCTTCAACCTTCTTGGTCGATAAGGGTCACATTGGGCCTGAGTTCCCTTCCCGCTCTACTAATGCCCAACGTGGCTGCAGCTCCGCCTCCATCCACCTGCTCGACCGTGCTCCTCTCAAGCAAGACCCACGAGCCCAACACCGCATCCAGATCTCCACTGTACATTTCCAACGGAAGCTTCATGCTGCGCGTACTTTGGTCTAGGTCTAGCTGCACACGGTAGTCGAAAATGTGGCGAGTACGCTCCGAGACTGTCGAGTGATCAACCCCCCAAACCACCCCATGCCCAGCCCAACGAGTACTCCACGCTGCAGTAACGAACTGTCAAGAGCTGCCGGTGTAGATGCTTGAATGTGAAACCCGTCCGGAATCTCCATGCCGTGGGTTTCGTCGTCCGATTCCATGCTGTCGTCGTCGTCCACAAGACTCAGCTCGTCCATCTGATCCCTGGCCGTCTCTGCAACGACGAGCACAAGCCACAACGTCGCAGAAGCTGATTTGTCATCTACGCATACATATGTCAGTGGATTTAACGGCAACGGCAAGAGCAAAAGCAACAGCAACCGCAACAACAACCAAGCAGTGGAGTGAAAAACCCTGGTAGGCATCCAACTTACCACGAGTGTCTTCGTCGCTGGAATCGCCGTCCTCCACTCCCTCGCCGCTGTGGTCCCCCTCGCCCTCAACCGTCTGGTCATCCCCACCCCCGCACCCATCGTTGCCAGTCTCCGAAGATCCCTCGTCGTCGCTGGAGTCCCCATCGCCCGCGAAGGTGTACGGCTTGTCCAGACCCTCCAAGGTGATTCGGTCATCGCCTGAACCGTCGACAGTCATCGCCATGCCACACTTTTCGAAAAGGCGGAACCGGTATTCCTCGCGGCTGTCGAGCTCTTCCATGGCTGCCCCAACCCACTGCGTGATCAGCACACGCCGGTCAGACGCCGTCAACGAGTTGCTTTCCCACCTTTCGATGTTGTCCGCCTGCTCCAGCCACATATCCATTCGCTTCCCAACCTCCACCTTCAGAAAGCGTCCGGCTCCCGCGTCGACGGGCTGCAGCTCGTCCGTGGTTTCGGTCGGAAAAAACCAGGCAAGGGTGTTGCATTGCTTGGACAGATAGTCCTTGAACTTGTCCGTCGTCTGCGCGTGCAAGTTGTCCATGAGAAGGAGGGTCCTCTCCATGGGGAGCTGGCTCCTCCCGCGCATCAAGCTCGGGCGAAATGACTTCTTGGCCCACTCCATGCAGAAGTCCTGGTCGGCCCATGCGTTTTTCTGGAAAAAGACATCTACATTCTTGTGGTACGCGGCCTTCTCCACGCCTTCGAGATCCGCTTTCCCGTGCCTCCGAAAATGAGGGCAATCCGCATAACCCTCTTACCGGGACCAAAGATGACTTGCATGGTGCACTGCCTTTTCTCCAGTCCGGCAAAGGGCTGGCTGACGGCTACTAGCTTCACGCCTTGCTGTGCCCACGTGATTCCCAGCCCGTTCACGAACGGCAAAGGCACCTGATCCACGTCGAAACGCTCTCCGACAGCTGGAACTGCCCGTATTTTTCAAGCCTGGGCTCCTCCGTCCCACCCGAAGACAGCGATGCACCCTCAGGGAAGACTACCTTCCTGCGCTGCACCGGCTCTTCGATCAGCTGCCGAAACCTCCGGTGGAACCGCTGGATTCGCGGCAGGCGTTCCTCGATAGACTTGGCCTTCAAGTTGGAACGGCGCCTTGGTACCACTTTGTGTCTCTTGGCCCATTTTTGCATCCACCGGAAGGACGGTCGAAACACTGCCGCCCGGCTGTCGGTAGGGTGGTGCTCCTCCAGCAGCTTCCGGAACGTGACGGTGAGCCAAAGGGTCGACACCTTCAGCTTCTTCTTGCGGCGAGCCAAGAAACGATTGAAGAGCTCCCTCTCTGCGGCAGGAAACCACCGTTTTGGCTGCTGTTTCGCGAGTAGCGTCTGCTTCACTTCGTCTGCGGCGAACGCCACGATCTCGTCCTCGTCCTTGACCCACTTGCTGATGTTGGTGCGAGGTACCTTCATGTGGGTTTCGAGGTACTGCATAGGGCTGAGGTGCTCGGCCTGCCAGAGAGCTTGGCGGTCCTCCTCGAGGATGCGCAGCTGCTGGATCACGTGGGCTTTGAATCTAAAGTCGTAGCGATTGCGCTTGGCAGCGCCACGCCGAGCCGACCTGGGTTCAGCAGGCGTGAAGCCGTCAGATTCCAGGTCGATGTTGGGGACACGCTTCGGCTGGAGGACGAACGAAGCTGCCCCCGTGATGCCATCGATCTTCACGTGGTAACAGCGCCCAGGTCCGGCGCGTTCCCACGGTAGAACATCCCCTTTCGCATCGTCTCCCAGCATACGCTGCAGTCGCTGGCCTTGGAAAACGTTCGCCGTGCTGTGGTTGGTTTTCATGTGGAGCCCCAGGCCTTGTGCGTTCACAAAGGTCGTCGGACAGTGGGGGCATTGCACACGGGGGGCCGGGGCCGGCGATGCAAAACTGACGCTGGACACATACTCCTGCACGCCAGCGCGAGTCCTCAAAACCTGCCGACCAATGGGAAAAGATGCGCATGCAATACGTAGGTACACAATCAGCAAGGTTGAAAAAATCCTACAGTGTACAATGTACTATGTATGTACATACATTGGTGTCTCGGATATATGTACTTTGTTGCTGTATGTTTTGCATCTAGGTGCAGTGGTAGTAGAACACGCATGTATGTGGCAAAAATTTGTCTGCTTCAACTTTGCGGGGCGGGCGGTCGAACACGGTTTGATGGCTTACCACATGATGTGTACACTCGTGACACTTCAAAATGTAGACACGCGCCAAAAAGAGACGGCAAAAACAAACGCGAAAAAAAAACTGCTGTGTACCTGCTGGAATGTACTCAGAAAAACCCACTGCCACATAGACTACAAGTACATGCAGCACAGTATTTGAAAATATAATTGTTTGTGCAGAGTCTGCAGGGGCTCACCGGTTGCCCGCTGCCAATAGCGAACGAGTTGTAGATGTTCAGAGAGCCTTTGGCGGCGTCTTCTCGTTGTCTCTTTCCTCGATTCGGGGCCCCGCGCGCCGCCGGAGCTGCTGCTGCTGCTGCTGCGCTTGACCGCTTTCCGGATGCAGACGACGCGACAGCGTGCTCTGAAGACAAAGTAGGGCGAGCGCTGTTGATGCCCGAGATGTCTCCATCAACCTGCGTGGTCCAATCTTCTTCCGAGAACACGCCGCTGCTTCTCAGGTCCCACGCTACGTCGAAGGCCTCCCAGTGTTCGCTTGTGAGAGAGTTGCCCTCCCTCACGTGTTTCTTGATCACCTCGTACTGTCGCTCAAGGATCATGCCCTTAGCTTTGAGTGCTGAGAGCTTCTGGAGCTCCCTCAACGTCGCCAAGGGCAGCGACATGATCGCCAAGGGCTTGTTGCGTGGCACGCACCCGAGGCCGCAGACACGCGCAGATTTGCGCAGATAGCAAGGGGGTACAGCGGTGCAATACTACCCCCACCCCTCCGGTCCGCTTGTTTTCGCCACCCACCCCCCTGTTCTGTAAAAAAATATGTACTGGGAGGGGGGGCGGTTGGCTACCCGCCGAAGTTCTTATCTTCCAGCTAAGGTATGTAATGGACCCCGTTGTTATCTTGACCTCGAGTTTGACACCTCAATACGGGTTCTTGTTCTTATGTCACGTCAGAACTGAGCACCTGTTCTTATGGCCAAGATTTTTTGAGCCTCATGTTCTTAACTGCTATGTTCTGAAGTGCGGGCGCCATCTGTAGTTGACACTCTATTGATAAAGGCCTGCCGCTGTTGCCCGGTCCTCACATCATGGATGTCATACCAGGTACGTATTTAGTCAAAGTCAAATTCGTGCGACCACCTGGTTGCACGTGTACGCTTTTGGTGTTTGTTACTGCTGCATTCATGCGCCGATCGATGGCATTGATTGTTAGTCGACTCACCACCGTTGCAATGGTTAGTTGTTTCACCCCGTTGCCCCCCCCCCCCCTATCATTGCGCACGCAGTTTCTTCATGACGAAAATCCCGGACAACAGACACGCTGATGTTTGTCCACAGCAGGTTTACGTGTTGCTGTGCTTTTACGTTTGTCCAGCTATCGACATTGATTGTGGTTGTTAGCTGCTACACGCCATTGCCCAACTGTTGTTGTCCACGTATTTTCTTCACGACGAAACCCCTGCTGCACACTGCACACAGGCACGCTGATGTTTTGTCCGCCGCAGGTTTCGTCTTGTTGGCTGTTACACGGGTGTGTCCACAACAACAACAACCAACCTGGCTATTTGGTGTTTCACGTATCTAGCTGCCACACTATTGATGAAGGCCTGCAGCTGTTGCCGGCCCTCACATCATGGAAGTACATGTATGCCATACCTTATTTATTTGTAGTCAAATTCAAATCCGTGCGACCGCCTGGTTGCACTTGCACGCTACTGCATAAACACACACATTTTTTGGTTCCAATTGCACGCTTCTGCACACAAGCTTGCGCCGCTGTGGCACACGCGGTGTGGACTACTCGAAACATCATGAATAGTTGGCTACCGGATACATATTTAATGTACGTTGCCCGTCCATAATTCCGCCCTCTACGGTGGTAGCTTCGGAACACACGCACCGTTTGTTGTTGTCCGTGACTACCGTTGCGCCTTTCTGGCTGTTACGGCAGTGCGGTTATTTCACATGACGCCCGCTGCACGCTCACATACACATGATGAGTTTGTCTGTTGGTTGCTATATATGTATGCCGGGTGCCGCTATTATTATCGCACAGACAGTTCCTTGGGTCTTATCGCATCCCTCTAGATATTGTATTTGAAGGGGTGCTCTGATTATTGGTGTGTGGATTCTCTGCAAGGGTGTGTTTGGTAAAGTATTTTACTCATCCGTTCAACTTGATCCGTTGAGTATTTCCTTGAGTGTGTATTTCCAAAATACTCAACAAAACACTCAAGCCTTTGAGTAAGTATTTCAAAATGCTCATCGATATTCAGGAGATTGAGTTAGTACTTCAAAATCTACTCATGCGTACTCAGCTACTCGAGTATTATTACTCAACCTTGAGAAAATCCTTGAGTAAGTGTTTCACAAATACTCAACTTTTACTAGACTAAAGCCTGTGAGTAAGTTTTTCGAAAATAACTCATCCATCCGTACTCCAGCGCAATGTGTACTCGCCAACCGCGTTTGAGTATACTTACTCAAAATACTCTGAGTACGGCGTTTAGTAATACTCTGCGGTACACATGCCGATGTGATTCTCAGTTGCCTCACCGTTGCAATTGTTGGCTGTTACACGCCGTTGTATAGCTATCACTGCACAAGCCGTTGCCTCATGACGAAATCCCTGCAAGACACGCTGATGTTTTGCCCCGCAGCAGACTCTGCCTATAGCATACGCCGCTATGCTTGCGACCGTCGGTAAAATTGGTTTGTTACAATTGTTGGCTGTTACACGCTGTTGTATAGCCATCATTGCACAAGCAGTTGCCTCATGACGAAATCCCTGCAAGACACGCTGATGTTTTGCCCCGCAGCAAACCCTGCCTATAGCATACGCCGCTATGCTTGCGACCGTCGGTAGATTTGTTTGTTACAGTTGTTGGCTGTTACACGCCGTTGTATAGCCATCATTGCACAAGCAGTTGCCTCATGACGAAATCCCTGCAAGACACGCTGATGTTTTGCCCCGCAGCAAACCCTGCCTATAGCATACGCCGCTATGCTTGCGACCGTCGGTAGATTTGTTTGTTACAGTTGTTGGCTGTTACACGCCGTTGTATAGCCATCATTGCACAAGCAGTTGCCTCATGGCGAAATCCCTGCAAGACACGCTGATGTTTTGCCCGCAGCAGACTATGCCTACAGCATACGCCGCTATGCTTGCGACCGTCGGTAGATTTGTTTGGTGTTTGTCACTGCTGTACACTGCCGATGTGATTGTCAGCTGCCTCACCGCTACATTGGTTGACTGCTACACCTTTGTCCAGCTATTATGGCGAAAGCAGTTGGCCTCATGACGAAATCCTTGCACACAAGACACGCTCATATTTCCTCGCAGAATGTTTGCGTTGTGTTGGCTGGTACACGCCGTTCGATCGTTCATGTCGGACAATGGTGTAGAACCACACGCTGGCGTGGTTTCCTTGGTTGGTTACAGTCCCCCCCTTGGTGACTGTTACACACGCTTATGCATCTATTGCACATACAGTTGTACTCACGAGGTTACTGCTGCATTCCCCCGCGCTGATGTGGTTATTCATCGTCTCACAGCTGTTGTCGCTGTGATGAATTGGTGTCGTCGCGGCGCGCCGCTGACGGTGTCCTGCCGCTACGTCTCATCATGTTATATATATACTTACAGGATGGTCGTCGTGACGTGACACATTTCTTGTTATTAGTATGGAAAAAAAAAATAAAAAATGGCTGTGATAATTTTTTTCGTACAGCGGTATGGACCAGACGCCGACTGTACATAGAAGTTGGCGAGTGTCGACTGAGTTGTGTTGTGACGGCATCTTCCACGCACTTCTGCCAGCGCTGCTTTGTTGTTTGGAGTCTTGTAGGTCGAGATACAGCAGTGGGATTCTCGGGTTGTGGAGGCAAAAGTGAACCAGAGCAAAAAAATTCATGCATAGCTCGATTACTGCTGCTGTGTTTTTGCTACAGCAGTATGGACTAGACGCCGAACGACGTCCGCGTGCTACAAGTACCGCAACGACCTAACGGATGGGATACTTCCTGCCACGGCGAACCATAGTACAATGCGATGCAAACATCCGTTCGTGTGTCGCGCGGCTGCCACATGTGTCGACGATAGGTACACGTAGAGCTCTCGCCATGTTGTTGTCGTTTCCGCGCAGGAGAATCCCTCGGAGATGTTCCACATGGTGCTACAACGACAGCAGTACAACTGTACATAGATGTCGTAGGAGAGTGGAGTTGTGCTGTCACGGCATTTCCCACGCACTCTCCTACCGGTGCTTGTGTCGATTGGAGTCTTGTAGGCCGAAATACAAGAGTGGGTTGGACTCCCGGGTTGTGGAAGCAAACCTGCCTGCAACAACAGAGAAGGCGGTGTTCTATTTACTATAATAGAGTAATTCCGCTCAACTTTTTTTTTTTTCGCGGCATGTGGTCGCATATTTCTTTGCCACTGCCGAAAAAGACCGCTGGATCTTTACGCAGAGTCCACCTTTTGCATTTATCATTTTACACTGAACGACGCAGGACGGGTCGACCTTCATCGTTGTTGTTGTTGCTGTTGTCCCCACATTAAAAACCGTTCCGACGTCCTCCTCGATACTTGTGGACTACCTGTCTGTTGGAAATTGTGGGAATCCCTTCATTCTTCTAGAGAGAGCCATAGGTCGGCATCCGGCCTTTTTTTTTTTTTCTTAATATGACACAATGAAACCATCTCAATCATAGAAAAGAGTCTGAGACAGATTAGCAATGGATTCATAGCGTCAGAAAGTACCTGTATGTCTACGATTTCCCAGACATTCATTGTGGAGATTTGACGTCGCGCTTGCCGTCGTCGCCGCGTAAGTGTTTGTGTCTATTCGAACCTTCTCAGCCGGCCTTCAAACTTCTTGTTGATAAGTCTCCGTATGGTAACTTCTCCGCCCATGAGTCATATGCAGCTATGACCTGCGCTTTGACTCTCACGATGGGTGTTTTACCTCCCCGTCTTGCGTTGGTGAGTACCTGCGATATACAGAAGGATCGCTCCACGACGCAAACGTCGACGTCTCCGTTTTTTTTTTTGTTCCCTTCGCACTCCATCCTTGCGGCGGTTTTCACACACCGACTTCGAACGTGGGGTGCAATTTCCTCTCTTCGTACCTTCCTCGTCGGCCTTCTCCGTCGTTGTGTACATAATGTACCTCGATTTTTCGGCTTTTCGATTCCGATAGACAAGACTACGGACTGACATGTTCCTTTCACCCCCGACGGGACCGCGCGCTCGTCGAGTGCCGAAATTCTTCATCACTTCCTTGCCTCTCCCAACACCGTCCCTTCTTCCCGCCCTTACAAATCCTCTCCCCTTCTTCTTCTTCTTTCCTTCCTCCCGGACACTCACCACCATCCGTCCTGGATGTTGGCCCACAGCCCCATTGGGGGGCGGGGGGCCAATCCTTAACCCTAGTTGGCTGTACACGCCGTTCTACCACTACGCCATTACAATTACGTCATCCCTTTGCCGTAATGGCGGATAATATACATATCACCTCACCTCACCCGCATCGCATGCGACCGCGTTGGAGGTATTCCTCCCAACTAGGGAATATCGGGGCGCCCGTCACGTGCTGTCTTGTATCTCATGTAGCTTGTGCCTCACACATAGGCCACATATGGCCGTCCGGGGGTGCCTTTTTCCTTTGTCATTGCGTGTCTAACGTGCACACCACACAAATACATGCCGTTCGGTGGTGCCTTTTTCCCTTGGGGTTGCGCGTCCAACGCGCACACCACACAACCACATAATAGTAAGTAGTGATCTTCCGGGTTGTTTTATGTAAACACCACACGGTCACATGCTGAATTAGTTCCCGTGCCTCTCTTGTACTGACGTACCTCGTGGTGCACGCCCAACTAACACCAACCCATATGCACACCAACTCCGCCGTAGCTAACAATCCCGTCTGTGAGTAGGTAGACTTACACTTGGATAAGCCCGGCGAGACGTTGTGTTCGTTGGTCCGTGCGCTGTCATGTTTTCTCGACAGTACGCCTGGATACACAGCATCGAATCGACGTTTGCTTCGTAACGTAATTTCACACGCGGCCATACAAATTGGGCCCCGAAAAGGAAATATATAGAGAATGCTGTGTGCCTTTCTATGTTGACGGGAACCCGTGCCGTCAGTTCTCAGCGCCCAAGTTTCCTCTTCAAAAAAAAAAAAAAGGGAGGGGGGAGGGGGGGGGGGGATCTCGACAGTTCCTGTCATTCAAGAAGTGCGAGTTTTGGGCCAGTCACGGCCTTTCAATGCTTCGATATCATCTGCGATTCGGACACGATGACGTTCCGGATTCTCTAGAAAAAGCTGGACAAGCCACGTGCCATACTACGAACAGCTCTCGCCGATGGATGCTTGTCGAACCCCGCAACGCGTTGGGGGCAAGTGAACGATCATGACTGTGGTGATCCGACCGGCGTTACGTTGGACGCATGCGACGTTGCCGTCCTTCCCAGATGGTCAAAACCATCCAAACTCGGGTCGATCTGGCATGTAACGCTAACGCATCTGCGGGAAGAGTTCCAAAAAGCGTCTTTCTCTGACGGTTTCCTCGCACGAAAGGCCCTGACAGCGAGCAAGCCACCCTCATCGTCAAACTTGACGCATCATCGGACGCGTCTTCCCTAGGCTGGGGTGGCGTTTTGTCAACATCGGGGGAGCCCAGTACCGCGCTGGTGGTGTGATCCCAACTGATTGGCTGCACAAGCACATCAACAAGGAGATGTTTGCGTTGTACCAGTTGTCGCGACTCTTTCCGTGTGCGCTTTCCGACTGACTTGCAGCGGGCTCAAGGGTTCATCGACGTCGCGTTTGTTGGAGCTACAGATCGAGTACCCAGTGGCTGCTAATGTCGTCGCTGATGGTATCTCTCTGCCCTGGCGCGAAAGCATCGTTCGTCTAAACCCCGAGGGTTTTCCGTGCTCTCTGGGAGAATGTGCGGCTGGTCGCCCTTGTTCCTGACTTCGGCGACCGAACAACGTTGTTGCTGAACGCAGGGCTCGGACCAAGACGCGTTCGAATGCCTCTGATTCTTGGGCACATAGCGTAGAGGCACCAAGTGGGTGCACGACAGAGCCATGCTTTGGCGTATAGACTAGGTATGATACAATTTCGCGCATGCCTTCTAGTTTCGCAATGCGCTAACAGTACACGTCGATGCAGAAAGGGATCGTGTCCAAGTTGAAGATGGCGATCCAAAAGCAGTTGGGGCAAGACGGCAGCTGGGGCCCTGTTACGCGGTCGGGCGACCCGTGTCGTAGTCCTCTCGTAGAACCCTACGTCATGTTTTAGGACGGAGGATGTGTGGCACAGTTGCTGGATGGACCTACAATCGCTGTTGTCATGAAAAATTGCCGGGCGGCGTACCGATAGCGTCGCACTTGGCGCCTACTAGTGTAGGAACGGCGGGTTCCAAGACGAGGCGTAGCGAGTACTACCCTGACTAAAACACGTTGCCGATTGTCGGCCGGCCACGCATACATTCGATTTTCTACGTGTGCGTGCCGCGGAAATAAAAAAGTTTGGGTGGGGAGAGACCTACCTTAGAGGCTTGTGTGGTCAAAGCAATATATGGCAGATCAGACAATCAACAGGAAAGTAATGGGCGGGACCACAGGCCGGTGCAGGAGGCCTCACCCAACCCAATCCAATACTTACATTGAATGATCTAGGAAAGGGACAAGAATACAACAGTAATCTCGGATTTGAGACGAATCCGGATTTCGGAACGAAATCGGGAAGAGTCAGATATCCCATGAAGCATGTTGGAAAATGACCCTACCTTGTTCAGTCCCCTTTCTCTCTCCCGAAATACGCCGGGGCAGAGGAGAAAGAAGAAATATTTGAGACCATCCCACCCGCCCTACGAATACTGTTTCTATTCATGAACTTGCTGATCATTCAAACGCTTCGGGTCTGGGCATATTGCGATCTGTATGCCCAGCCCGAAGAGTTACTTCACGGCGAGGCCCTCCTGTCGGTGCAGGAGTCCTCACCCAACCCCATCCAATACTTACATTGAATGATCTAGGTAAGGGACAAGAATACAACAGTAAGAATGCTAAAACCCTAGCTGATGGTCTTCACACAACCCCATTTACATCTGATAGGTGGGGATTCTGGCTTTCACTCGGCGAAGAATGAAGAGTTTTATAGATGTGCTTGCTACAGCTTGTGTATACCCGATGCATCCCTCTTCCGGTTGGGACCCCCGCCCGCCTCCCCAAACTGCCGTACCTTGCATCGTAACGCCCTCCTCAATAGACACGTTGTCCGCTCTGTACGATTGAAATCCGTGGACGATTTATGTTTCTGAAGTCGACCGATATTGTTTTCCGTTGTCATTCTGCCCATTCCCGTTCCAGAATTGAATCAATCGGGATCGGAGTCAACATGTTTTCCCTTGTCTGAGAGTCTGTGGCGCGTTTCGGTACAGGCCAGCTGCAGTCGCAGTGGAGCTCCTGTCAACGAAGATAAGTTGCTAAGTTGAAGTAGATGGCGTTTTATCTGTCTATCGCTCCCCGGAAAACTCACGTCCGGCCTTTTTCCCCACCTGCCTGCTCACACTTGCTCTCTCTGGTCCTTGCGACGGGTGGTCATGGGCTAAGCAGGGTGGAACTCCCGAACACGACTCATTCACTGCGGCAGTGATGGGCTCGGATGGGTCCTCTATCGCAACCGGTAAGGATGGGGCTCCTGTGTCTTCCGTCTCTTGGGATACATTGCGTCGTGCCTCCCGTCGGTTTGCAAGGCAACCCCGAACGATACCAAAGAACACGAAATAGTCGCTACACGGCACCCTCCATTGTTTCTCCGACTAAATCTGGCGACCGTCAATGCAGGATATACCCATGGAGACTGGATAGCAACAAACACCGACAATCCTGCGTGGGTCGCACAGAAACTGGATGCAGAAGGGACCGTGGTATGGGAGTGGCAGGTGAATCGGCCATATCTCGCAGCGCGAGCATGGAAAAATCAGCACCTCCGGCTGCCGCCGGCATTCGTATGTTTGACTGGTCCTGTCCCAGTATGCGTGGGGTGGTTGATTATACCTCGTATGTCTCATGCGATTTCTTGGGTTGTCGAGAGATATAACGGGGACCCCAGACTTGGTGGGCGATAGCTTGTAATTGTACTCCGCGGATTATCTTGTCGAATTCCCTCAAAAATGCGTTCGACTTCGTCTTGCTTCCTGCCGTCGTTGTCAATCGCAAAGGAAAGGATCCCCATGGTGCCATCGAGGCCTACTGTCTCTCTCTTCGACACTTCAGGAAACTCAAAGCGAGCACAACCTGTCTCCCCTTCCCATCTTTTTGAGAGACTAGAGACCAATGATGTGTAGACTCAGCCGCCCACCCGTCGGACGTGTGTGTAGAATGGAAACATGAGAAGATTACGCATTAAGGCAACATAATAAGCAATATTAACGTTGTGGCGGCACCATCAGTACGCGAGACTCACCGCTGTCTTTCGGTTTCATCGCTGCGGGTTCTATCCCGTTGTGCTGCACATTTCGATGCGGGCACACTTCGAAGCGGCCGGTGGAACTAACTTACCAATGTTGTGCCGGGAATCTTCGTCTTCCACAGAACGGAACCTCACTGGATTGGGCTGATGCAGCAGTCATGGGCCTGGATGAATCCGTCGTTCTTGCCGGGTCCACCGAGATTGACGGCGAAGACGGCTTCGCGGCGCTCGAGCTCGATTCTGAAGGAGTGGAACTGTGGAGATGGGAGGTTAGTCGATTGCTTGAGTCGAATCACCCCCACCATTGCTATCGCGCTCATCCATCACCAGAGTGGAACCCAGTACTGCATTGCGCATCGTCGGGTTTCCGAAGGACACTGTGTGCGACCTCTCCGTCAACACTGATGTTACGGCCCAATCCAAGTCTCCTTTATTCGGTGGCGAACAGGACAGCCCTGGTGGCGGTACTTGCAGAACGTACGGCGTGACGGTGTCAGACGACGGCTCTGTGGTCGGCGCTGGGTATATCTGGAGCGGCGACTGGGCCACACCAAGTTTGGGGGAAACTGATTTCATCGCGTACAAATTGGCCAAAGATGGCACTCTGCTCTGGAAATGGCAGGTAACGTATGAGTGATGCTACGGTATTGTAGGGGGGTGCACGTTTGGGGTGAAATCTTAAAAACACTTCTGGGAGAAAACGTGTAGAACTATACGATAGTCCTGAAGCGGTGGTCGTACGGCGGTACGGTGCAACCAACAGGTTTATGTGGAATGTGTCTTCCTACCTGAAAGTGTAAGGTGAGGTCACCCCCCTCTACCGCAGCATCACTCGTCATGTGTTACCTCGCGCCATGACCGGCATGGAATTACTGTTGTATTCTTATCCCTTACCCAGATCATTCAATGTAAGTATTGGATTTGGTTGGGCGAGGCCTCCTGCGCCTGCAGGAGGGCCTCGCCACAAGTATCCCTTTGGGCTGGGTGTACCCAGGCCCAAAGTGTTTGAATGATCAGCAAGTTCATGAATATAGTAAGCATTGTGTAGGGCGGGTGGGATGGTCTCAAATAAACCCCTTCTTCTCTGCTCCGGCGTATTTCGGGAGAGAAAAGGGGGACTGAACTAGGTGGGGTCATTTTCCAACATCCTTTCTGGAATATCTGACTCTTCCCGATTTCGTTCCGAAATCTAGATGCGTCTCAAATCCGAGATTACTGTTGTATTCTTATCCCTTACCCAGATCATTCAATGTAAGTATTGGATTTGGTTGGGTGAGGCCTCCTGCGCCGGTCTGTGGTCCCGCCCATTACTTTCTTGTTAATTATCCGATCTGTCACATCTTATTTATTGACCACTCACGCCTCTAAGCTAGGTCTCGCCCACCCAAACTTTCTTTATTTTTCGCGGCGAGCACACGCAGAGAAATCGCATGTGAAGTCAGCCGACAACGGCAACGCGTTTGAGTCTGCGTACAGCTCGCTACGGATCCTCTTGGAACCCGTTGCCCCCACACTAGTAGTGGCGCCAACATATCGCTTCGCTACACTCTCCGTACGCCACCCGGCAATTTTCATGATAGCGTCCATCGCCGTTCCGTCAAGCGACTGCGCTACCGAACCTCCAACGCGGAACGAGTGCGTAGTGTAGCGGTGCGGCAGTCCCGCCGCTCGCAGATGCCCTTGTAGGGCAGCCGTCATCTGAACCGCCGTAAGCGGAGCACAGCCCCGAGTTCCATCCAGCAGAACGATAGGAAACAGATGTCCTTGGGACAAATCCCAGCCAATACCCTCCGCCGCACTGATGTAGGCCGTAACATTGCTTACAGCACAAATAGACGGGCACGCGACGTCCGGACGCACGACCACGGCATCAACAGAGTCGCGGAGGGTCTTGCCGAACTGGAAGTTGAAAATCAGACCCTGCCCCGCGGGCAACCGCAGAACTTGCGATCCCATAGTGAAGGAGAGATCATGGCCTCGCCGCATGGAGGCGAACGCCAGCGAAAACAAAGCGACGTCCCTGGTGAGCTCAATACGTTCCGCCAAAGAGGACGCAGTCTGCGCGCGAGAGCGCATGTCCCTCAACAGATCGATGAGGACGTGCGGTAACATAGCCTCTGCCTGGTTGACAGCGACACCCACACGTTTTTGTTCCTCCCCCGTGAAGACGAGGTAGGAGTCGACGAGAGGACTACAACAGGGGTTGCCCGAGCGCGTGGCAGGGTCCCAGCTGCTGTCTTTTCCCAACTGTTCTTGCATCGCCATCTTCAGCTTGGACACGATCCCTTTCTGCATGGACGCGGCGGCATACCGCTTAGCACATGGCGAGTTTGGAAGGCAATCGCGGCCGTGATTCGTACCGACACCAGGGCATGCCCTGTCGTGCACCCACTTGGTACCACTACCTTGTGTGTCCAAGAAGCAGAGATAGTCAAACACGTCTCGGTCCGACGCCTGCTTCCAACCCCGACGTTGTTGAGTCGCCGAAAGTATGAAAGCGTCGAACCCGTCCGCTACGGCGCACTTACGCTGTTGAGCACGACGGTTAGACGCGGCCGAGAGGACCTGATCACCCCGAGCGCGCAGCGCGTCGAAATCGATCAACACCCGAGCCGCTTGGGGGTCACGCGGTACCGGACGCCCGCGGGCAGTCTAAACACCGCAGGACCAACAATAGTTGTAATGTCCCACGTTTTCCGTCTGGCACGACGAACACGCGACAAACTGGACACAGCCGCCGGGAGGCAGGGTGGGGACCTGTGAGACGAAGCACAAGCCATCCACAAGCCAAAGGGAGGGAACTGGGCAAGATGGACGAGAGTCGCATGCTGCATTACAAGGTACCGGTGTCAATCAAACAGATTGTTTTTTTTTTTTTTTTTTTTTGAAGAGCGGCGGCCACCTAAGAACAAGAACCAAAATCAACCTCGTAAGCTACCATAGACCACCTCGGGTACTTCCACTCTCTCAGGGACCCATCTGGGCAGGGCCACTGGAAATATCCCCCCGCATTAGGCGGGGAAATCAGCAAAGACCGTACTGCCGCCTGCTGCACTCGAGGGAACCAGTAAGACCTAGAACCCGGTACAACAATAACCGCATGCGCGTGGCACTCCGCAAGGTGTTGCACTACGTGGCCCGCCATCACCGGCGGCGGGAAACAATAACCGAATGCCCGATCCAGAGAACCTGGGCGCAACGACACCTCTTGGGCGAAAACATCTACACCCGATGAACCCTCGCAATCATAACGCGAGAAAAACGGCAGAACAACGTCCGACTCCGGGATACGTTGAGCCGAAGCGTCGGAGGCCATGAGGTCGATAGTAAACGGCCACATGTCTGCCCAGAGAGCCTGAAAGGCCGCTGGGTTGAGCCTGATGCTGCCCTCACGCGAAGGGCGAGAGATATCATCAGCGACGACATTGGCAGCCGACGGGACCCATTTGAGGGACAGCATAAACTCATACTCGACTTGTAGCTCGAACAAACGAACAAGAAGTGCGTGCGTTTCTGGGTCGCGCGCCCGCCCCCTGTTGAAAGATCCACACACCGCGGTGTTGTCGACGTCGATGAGCACGTGCGCCCGCTGCAAGGAAGCCGGAAAGCGCGCACAGAATAGGCGCAACAAGTGGTACAACGCAAACATCTCTTTCTTGTTAATATGTTTGTGTAGCCAATCGTCGGGGAACACGCCACCTGCGCGGTATTGAGCTCCCTTAATGTTAATAGCACCACCCCAGCCAAGGGAAGACGCGTCTGATGATCCGTCGATTTTGACGATGAGGTGGCTCGCTCGCTGCCACGGCCCTTCGTGTGAAGAAGCCGTCAGCGACAGCCACTTCTGGAATTCTTGCCGTAGATCCGCGTAAGCATCACGTGTCAGATCGATCTGACGCTGGTTGGTTTTGTCCATCGCGGAAAGGACGGCAAACATGGCATGCGTCCATAGCGACGCCGGCCGAATCGCCACCGTCATGCTCATACACTTACCCGCAACGCGCTGCAGCGTTCGGTAGGACACGCCCCCATCGGTCAGAGCTGTCCGCAGTAAGCCATGCAGCTTGTCCAGCTTCTCTTGCGGGGTCCGGAAGGTCATTGTCTCCGAATCGCAGATGATGCCGAGGTATTGTAGAGCTTTGACGGGTCGAAGCTCGCACTTCTTGAGTGACAGGAACTGTCCGCAGAAGAGCGAAGTCAGCATGGCGACGTGAGTCGCTTCCCCGGCTGCCAACCACTGATCCCGCGCCGGCCGACCATATATGGCCAGAAAGTTGCTCCGCCAAGAATCATCGAGGTATGCGAGAGAAGGGGCGCCTTTGGAACGCTGAAAGGCCGCCTTCGCTTCGCTGAGAGTATGGTAGACGTACGGGCTGAGGCTAAATCCGAACGGGAGGACGCACCAGCAGTAGTCGACGCCCTTGTAGGATAAGCCGAAGAGAGGCCATGATGATGGCCGCAGAAGAACATGATGAAACGCTGAGGAGTCGTCGAGTGACGTCATGTAGCATCCCGACGACGCAATGCTAGCCACGCGCGCTACCGTGTCCATGGCGAAAGGTATTTTCCGTGTGCAGCTGTTAAGCGGTCGAGCGTCATGAATAAGACGCGGTTTGGACGTCTCCACCGACAAAGCCATGATCATGCGAGGACGCACCGGACCGGTGGAGCTCTTGACGTCAGCCCACCGGGAAATGCAACCTCGGTCGAGCAAGGATTGCATTTCCGCGTCGACGAAGTTGTCAAATTCCAGCGGCCAACGGTGGTTGGAGAAAATGCGCTGCGGGAAATGATCAACATTGTAGGGGAGAGACGGCGACTCGCCTCGGAATTTGGGAAGCAGAAGGTCATAAAGGTCAACGCCATCCCGGATGTACGAAGTCAACGTATCTCGTAAGGGATGATCACGGAGAATGCAGTCCTCCCAGAACCCAGCACAGGCTCGCACGAATCCTGGGACGAAACCCTTGGCATCCCACACGGGAGCCTGCCATGGCAAGCGACGTAATTCGCCTTCCATCGGGTCCCGGGTGACCTCGTCCAAAGAGGGAAACCCGCGAGAGGCCGTGGGAAAGGCGCCCACTTGCGCCCACTCGGACTCATCTGGCGGCAACAGGGGGGCCGGGGGCATGATCCACTCCACACTTTTGTGGCGGAGGTCAAGCGTCCGCAGCCAGTTTTCTGCTGCAACCTACCCGTGAGTCAAGCGTAAAGAACAGTTCGGAGTGGGGCGACACAGACAACGATTTCGAATTTCGAACCAAACCAGGAAGTGTCTATGAGAGCATTGGGCATGCGACAAGACAAAGGGGCGGTGGAGGGGCGTCGGGAATACAGAGATCAAGATCCCCCCCCCCCCACCCCTCCCCTGCTCTTTTTTTTTTTTTTTGTGAAAAGGAAACCTGGGCGCGGAGAAGTGACCGCACGGGTTCCCATCAACATATAAAAGGCGCACAGCATGGTATATATATATATTTCTTTTCGGGGCCCAATTTGTATGGCCGCGTGTGAAATTACGTTACAAAGCGAACGTCGATTCGATGCTGTGTATCCAGGCGTACCGTCGAGAAAACATGACAGCGCACAGACCAACTAACACAACGTCTCGCCGGGCTTATCCAAGTGTAAGTCTACCTTCTCACAGACGGGATTGCTAGCTACGGCGATATTGGTGTGCATATATGTTGGTGTTAGTTGGGCGTGCACCACGAGGTACGTCAGTACGCGAGAGGCACATGAACTAAGACGGCATGTGACCGTGTGGTGTGATCGTAAACAACCCGAACGATCACTACTTATTATTAGGTGGGTGTGTGGTGTGCGCGTTGGACACGCAACCCCCAAGGGAAAAGGCACCGAGGAAACGGTATGTATATATTGGCCACGCAACCCCAAAACGAAAAGGGTGCGGCCGAACGGCCAATAGTAGCATATGTATGAAGCACAAGCTACATGAATCAAGACATTCCCTAGGTGGGAGGGATACCTCCCACGCGGCTGCCGGCGATAAGTGCAACGCTAAAACGAACGACAACCTCAGAATAATTCGTGTCGACAAAGGAAAGATCCGCAAAGCCTGAGGGAACCCAGCAACGAGCTAACAAAAGGCGCCCGGCCCCCCTCACTGCACACACCTACTCGGGGCGGGAAGACGGAATGCAGAGCCTACGCAACTAATAAGGGCAACCGTTGGACCGGTGTCCGGCACGCCGACATTTGGAGCATATGGAGAACGCACAAGTCTTGTGATTGTGGTTGGCGTTCCTGCCCGCGGCCTTGCATTTGTCGCAAGTGGGGCCGCCCGCCACGGGATGGAGATGCTGCTGGGCGTCCTGGAGAGCGCCGTTAAACACGTCGATCTTGGACAGACCACGGTTACTCGGAAGCGATGCGCGTGCGCCCCCGCCCCCCCGTGATCCCACTGCCTTGGCCTTGGACTTCCTGGCGACGCCGCCGCCAAGCGGAAGGGTAACAGATGGGTACTGCAGAGCGGCAACACTCTGTGCTACGCCGCTGGAAAAACCCTGCGGCGCGAGGCCCGCAGCGGCTCCAAGGCTGGGAGGGGAAGAAAACCCCCCACCGACCTGGAGAGAGGAACCGCCGCCGGCCGCCGCGGCGGGCTTCAGCTGAGGACCCCCAGAGAGACCCAAGGCCTTCTGGATTGTGCGAGAGGTCTTCTGGTCGTCGTCTAGCGTGGACTTCGACACCCCACGCGAGTTGGGGAGCTTATCCGTGAATATCGCTAACGCGACAATGCCTCCGAACCGCCGGGCAATACATATCCCCCTCCACATGGTCTTCTCGAGGATGCGTTGGTCGACGAGGAGCCCTTCCGTGGCTGCATGGTTAGCGGCTTGAAACAGCGCGTGATGAAAATGAGGCCAGGAGAAGAGGCCGTCGGTGTTACGGCAGGTGCGCAGGGGGACTGAACTAGGTGGGGTCATTTTCCAACATCCTTTCTGGAATATCTGACTCTTCCCGATTTCGTTCCGAAATCTAGATGCGTCTCAAATCCGAGATTACTGATGAACGCCAAGGTGAAAGTTTGCTTGCGTGGAAAGCAGAAAGTGTACAACTGACCAACGGCTGTGGCCTGTCTTGGTTCTTCTGGGTTACCTCGGGTTCAAATTCCACACTCACTCCGTCGTCGAGCTGGCCTCAATTTCTTTGGGCAATGTGAGCAAGAATTTCGCGTGGGGGTCGCGCCAGGCAGTCTATTGTCGTTCAACCGCACACCCTACTTAATCCAGCGCTGGTCCGGAGTTCTTCTCAAGCGAGTTCGACCAAGCAAGAGATATATCGCTCCGGAGATGGGAAGCAAATCAGCCTTCTTTAATATGCACGCTTTCAAAACCATATCAAAGCCCGACCCCGACTCAGTGTACTGACTCCAAGCCAAGCACCGTCTCTTAAGTTTGTCGCCATCAGCTTTTACGTGGAGGGCACTGAGGCACGGACAAGTTCAAACACCGGACTGACTGGCAAATGATGGCATCGGCTAACGCGCACAAGCGCCCCATTGCCAGAGTCGTTTTACGTCCCTTCGAGGCTAACTCGTTCGGTTGGTCAGCCGGTATCCGCGTTTGATGCCGATAAGCACTTGCATGTTGCTCTACGTGATGTCTTAACTTTTTTTGCGAACACTTCGAATACGTTGGGATGCATTATCGTTTCTGGAGATAGAGTGGTACTCCGTACACAAGCGCAGAGGAACTCTGGGTTCATGGCCATATGCCTCCACGGTGGTGGGGTATCCGGCGATCTGGGCGGCATTGCAAGCCGCATAAGCTCTGTGCGGTTCACGGTATACGGTTGTTGTTGTGGTGAACGGACCCATGTTGCGACATGGCCGACGTTCGGGAGTTCGAGTTGGTGTGGGCTGATTGTTGGCCGTGTTGATTGGGTGTCTGCGACTGTCGTGTCATCATAGAATACGTAGTTGCATTTTGCACCTGTGTTGTGTGGCGATCCGTATCCACGTGTGGCAGCTTTGGGCGATTTGAATTGTTAAGTGAAGTGACGTCTTTGTGCTTAATGTTCCCTGACGCATAGTTGTCGTACCGCAAGAGTGGGAGAGAGGGCACCCCCGAGTTAGCGTTTTTCGATAGCGTATTTCTCCACAACCAGGGGGATATTCCTGCCGAAAAGGGCGGTTTTGGAAACATCTGGTCAAGGGCTTTTGGGAGAGGCATCAGTTGGTGTTCGCACCCACCCTCCTAGTTGCGGAGAAATACGCTATAATAAAAAGCGAACTCGGGGGTGCCATCTCTCCGACTCTTACGGTATTCACATGTAGCTGCGCGCAATTGTGCGGGTGAAAGGACAACCACGCACGTATCTATTTCATTGGTTCCCCAATTGCAAATTGGCAAATTGGGTTTCAGCCGCTACAAACAAAAAAAGCACTATAACTTTTTGTGACAGAAATCTTGTGACAGCAACTGAGACTGATTTTCTGCACGCTCACGAAATCCCAGGCCGTTTCCTTTTGGGGGTGACCTCGCGTGACCAAACTGAATGTATAGCACAAGCCTTACCGCTCGCCTCGTCGAGTTGACGGAATGGCGGTAGCTTGAGTGCAACGCTATACATAAACCAAGTGATTTTGCGGCAGAACTTGAGACCGATTTTCTCTACGCTCACGAAATCCCAGGCCGTTTCCTTTTGGCGGTGACCTCGTGTGACCAAAATGAGCGCAAGGTACGAATCTTTCCGATCGCCTCGTCGAGTTGACGGAATGGCGGCAGCTTCAGTGCAACGGGGCTACCGTACGTGACATGACATAACATATCACGTCCCATGGACCGATTTTCGAAGCTCGAGTTGTCCACAGCAGAAAGAGTGGCAGCGCCGAAAAAGGCGGCGTTGAAGCCGTCTTGTCGAGAGCTTTCCGAACACTTATCGTTTCATTCAAGCATTCCCAGTGGAGTAATCGAGCTATGATAATCGGTCCAAGCGGTGTGGTCTCTTGTGCCACATACGGTACAGGCAGCACAGCCTCTCTAATTGTTCGTCTGGTGCACCTGGTAATAGTGAGGATTGGGCTACACAGTAGTGCCTTCATTCTTCTATTCCGTTCGTGACGCTACATCATCATCGTACCCGAGACACAAATAGAGAAAACGGAAACTAAGCAATTCAACCGCCTCTCTCTACCTATGTTCGTCGTGATGTGGTGCACCTGGAAAGAGTGAGTATTGAAAGATGAGTCGTACAGCAAAATACAGCACCTTCATTCCCCGTTCGTGACGCCATCGTACCGAGATACAAAGAAATAAAACGAAAACAAAATAAAACATTCAGTTCAATTGGGGAAGCAGCCGTGGGCACCACGGCAATTTACTGTATAACACATGCGGCGTCCGTTCGTGCCGGTTGTCGGCGTGGGTCCAGGTGCATCATGCAGAGCTCGACTTGATTCCGGTTCCAAACGGAATGGTTACAGAGTTTCCTTCGAATGTTGGTGAACGGACCACATTGCACACTAGGATAGCTCCGTAGCGTTTGACGGTCACTAGCCGATATTTCCGCGAATCAAAAGCAAGGGGACGGCTAGGGCACTGCAAACTCTCCGGCGATGATTCACATCGGATTCTTGGTTTGTACTACGTTTGTACCTGCAGGACGGGACAGCAGGCTATGATACCCTGCATGCGGTGGTCTCGGTGGATGGGGACGGGTCAGTTGTCATGGCAGGACAAACAAGCGGGGATTTCTCAGGGATCTCCGTCGGAAGCAACGACTTCATCGCCATCAAGCTCGACGCAGAAGGAAATGAGCTGTGGACATGGCAGGTTGGCCGAGTGATGCACATTTCGTAGGCAAACTGAAGGGGTTTCTATGGTGTTGTTGGTGAGTCATATGTGACTATGGAAGGATGTTGAACACCCGTACTGCTTCTTGCACAACTCTGCTTGTAGGAGGGCTGTCGCAAGCCACAACGCGACCTTACTACCTGGCGCTACTTGTACAGAATGGCAGGGGGTGACATCTCTCGATCCACAAAATGCTGAGAGAGAAAACAGAAGACGGAACTGAGGTTAAATTACGTGTATATGTCACAGAACTTCACTCTCATAACCTTCACTGAAAATCAAATCCTTGGTAAGACCCAAACCTGGTCGACTATGCTGCTATCCAACATCTGCACACGGCAAACTGTGTGCTGGTGATCACGAGCACCCAGCCATAAGCTCCCGAATTACCGAGCATACAACTAAACAGAGATAGGCATAAAAAAATAACGAATGGTGGGAAGCGTTGGAAAGTGTTCGGAGGTTGGCATAAAAAAATAACGAAAGGTGGGAAGCGTTGGAAAATGTTCGGAGATTTCAGCGTTTCTTTGTCAAATTAAGGACGTGGGAGCACAACAAGAAAGCTCTGAGATCATGAGAGGGATGTTGTCTCAAGGATGCACCATCACATCCAGGATACGCTACGGGGCTTTTCCGGCTTATGTGGGGGTGCAACCTTCATGTGCTATTCCCGATCACGGTTAGCTGGGTCAAGAGCATGGTTTCGTGCTCGAATCGTTGCCCACTTCCTTTTCGTCGACATTTTTGTTTCGTATTGGCTACTACATACATAGGATGGTACTAGTGGGGGGGACTTCGTGGAAGCTGCTGCGGCGACAGGGGACGGGTCTATCGTGCTGGCTGGATATACTTGTGGGGAGTGGAGTGGGGAGTTGGCGGGCGATACTTGTGACTTCGCCGCGGTGAAGATCGATGCCAACGGAACGGAAGTTTGGAGGTGGCAGGTGATGTTGCTTGCGTTATTGCATGTTTTGGTACTAAGAACCTGTCGGAGACATCTATTCAGTATCTGTTCCAGCGGGTAAAGAGATGGACGGTGGCGGCAGTGCGACTAAGGCTGCTTCCATGTGTTCTACTTCAGAATGTTAGATGCGGAATTTTACAGGCGTTGTTTGAGGGCAGGTTGGCCAGATCAAGAGGCACGACTGTCTCTTGTTGGCGTACAATCATTTTTCAATCGTGCCACCCTGTTGTGTATCGCAACACCTCTCCACTTGCTGCCCTTTGCGTTACGTAGAACTCAAAGTGCCGTCAAGCTCGCTCGCCATTTCCTTTCACGTGGTGTTGATTGGACAGGGCGGTTACGCGGTCCAGTACAACGGAATGCATGCGGTGGCCGTGCAAGAAGATGGGACTGTTCTCCTCACCGGGCGTAGTGGAGATTACAACGCTGTCGCGGTTAGTGGCGTCGGGGCTTCCGAAATTGCAGCGGTGATGCTAGGGGTTGACGGAGAAGAGGTCTGGCGCTGGAAGCAGGTGACTGCGACCGACGAACGCCTTTATTGGAAGTGTTTTTGTTTTTCAAAGCTTAAGGCAAGCGAGTAGCGGGCACACATGCGTTTTCCAAACCAAATGCACTTGTATTATGACCATTGATGTCTTTTTTTTAACCGTAGTGTAGTTCTTCCGCACTACCATGAAGAGAATCACTTCGACCGACTAAACACCATAGACGCAACAAACGTGGTATGCTCAGCACGTCCCGTCATGTGTGTGTTGGTTGTGTAACCCGCAGGCCAGCTCTCCAGACGTCTTCCAAGTCCGGGGGATGGCGGCAGGCTCAAACGGGAGGATGCTAATGGTCGGGAACACCAATGGATCGTGGATAGGCGATCCCAATCTTGGCAGCGAAGATTTCTTGCTTGTCATGTTCAACACCACCAGCCTCACCACCTCGACAACCCCAACGGTGTCACCAACTGTCGCACGGAGTCCCGCGCCAGCTTTACAGGTTATCCTACCTTCTACTACGCCTACCACACTACCTATCCCTACATCGGCACCATCACCGGGTAGTTCCTCCACAGCGGCGCCATCAGCCGGCAGTTCCTCCATGGTGGCACCGTCAGCCGGCAGTTCCTCGACACTCGCACCGTCATCTGGGAATTCCTCGACAGTTGACCCTTTAGGCACTTCCCCGGGAGGTGAATCAGCATCGGGCACTGCGCCAGTCGTAGCTGGGGTGGTTTCCGCGATTGCCGCTGCTGCTCTCATTACGCTTGGTGTTTGGTACAAGAGGCGGCAAGCAGCGAAAAACATGGGGAGTGGCCGGTTGGTCCCACCTCCCGGCGACGATGATGGCCTCGAACATGGTCGTGAATACAATCGCCAGCAAGGCGTTGAGCCGGCTGCATCGGCCGTTGTTTATTCAGACAACAACCAGCCTCCGCACCCACACAAGCCGGTAGAGGTTGTGACGGCCGGCAAAGCACCCTCGGGGTCTGTATCGTCCAGCACCGAACAGTCCACACGAATGCCGGAAGGGCCAGGTGTTAGGTTTCCAGGCGTGGGTACGAAAGACGTTTTAGCACAGCAGTCCTTGACTACTGCCGGTTCCACAGCTGTTGTCTCAACGTCTGAGCGGGCTGAACTAGCCGGCATCAGCACTGAAAACACAGGACGTTTTGCCGACGAACCTATGCCAGCCTCGGGCGAGCGAGAGGCCTCTTCCACGGCTGGCCGCCGAGGATCGTTCGGTGATGTCGGCGTTGGCCAAGCTGTGATGGTAGCAGCTCAAGAGCTGGCTCACAGGTGTCAAGTTCCTGGCGTCAGCGAGGCAGTAACACTGGTTTCCATTCTGGTTAACCTCGTGAAGGATAGCCGCGACGACAGCAGCGGGGGTGACTCGAGACTCAGACAGTGCCGCTCGATTGTCATGGTGCTGAACCGGGCCGACAAGGTCGCTGGCAACGTGAGTGGTGGGCCTTGCTGTGATTGCACCATTGGTCCAATGTCTTTGATTCATTACTCTCGGGAAAAGGCTGCGGTTGCCGCAAAATAGGATCACATTGCGTTGACTTCTGGCAATGCATGCAATGGTGTATTTTTCTCTTGCTTTTCGTCACGCATGAATTTCAGGGCGAAAATACGACCGGGAAGGTGGCCCGTACGTTAATCGACGACGTGCACGAGGCAATCTTCGACCTCGTGGAGCTCATCAAAACGTACCAAAGCAAGAACAAGCTTTCGAAAGTGCTAATGTCGACCCTCTTCAAGCGGCGCCAGGACGAGCTTGATGCGGTCGTTGACAGGGCCATCGTGCGACTGCAAGTGAGTGGTGACTTTAATGGTTGTTTCAGTGAGGAAGAGTTGGCAGTTCGCTCGACTTTTTGAGAGAGTCGGGGATTGATTCGCAAGCTCGTGAAGCAAGATGGTTAGAATTTGTGGTCATGGTGTTTGTCTCAGGCGCAGGGATACGTTCCTCGACGCCCCCCTTTTCGCGAGCTTGCGTGTTTTAGCTGATCGTGATACTGTTTGTGTTACGCCCGTCCAGTTGGGTCTCCAGGTTCAAGTCGGACAGGATGTCAAGGCGGGAATGGACCTCTACAAGGTGAGACGTAGCGCACGCTACTCCTAAGCCACAGTGTGTTTATCCTGTGGTTCTACAAACAATCTGATCTCTAGAGGGGGACCGAAACGCTTCGATTGCGTTGAACTATAATCCAGGTTGTTCAGACATGGTTGCGAATCTTCGCGTTGCCCTCGCTAACTATTCGTGTTTCATGCTGTCGATGTCTCTTGCAGGGTTCCATTGCAGAGGTTCAGTCAGAGTCTCTGGCGGACGCTCGTAGCACACGGCGTCGGCGCAAGCTGGACCAAGTCGAAATCCCCGAGGAACATGTGACCATCACAAACGAAGTACTTGGGAGGGGTGGCTTTGGCGAGGTGTACCTCGCCGACTACAACGGTCGTAACGCCGCCGCTAAGGTGCTGAGAGTTTGTCGTTGAACTGTAGTGATACGTCGGTACCACCATACCATATCAAACAACCGATGATATTGTCCAGCAAGATAAGAAGGCAGACCGCAACAGTTCCGATGGTTTTGCCGAGAACGTGGTTTTTCTCCGTTTCCGTGGGAGTTCTATGTAGGTGCGGTAGCATTCATACATTGCGGAACGTACATAGCGTACCCGATGACACTATCTCATTTAGGGGTTACGTATCACCTCTCGTACATGCGTGGTGCGATGTGCCCGGGCATTTACAATATCTCCGGGTGGGTAGATGCACCAGTGTCAATTGACGAGGTGACCTTGGAGGTGCGACAAACTAAAACATGGACTATGATTTCAACTGTTTTGGCGTTTATTCTCATTGTTTCTCAACAACACGCGATACTGTCGCTTGTATATGCTGCCAAACGTGCTACGACACAGGTGCTGCTTATCGCCCGCGACCTAGGGACGTTAAGTGAAAACGATGCCCTTGAGTCCCCACTGGCAGGCCGGTCGAACACCACAAAGCGAGAAGACAGTCAACGGAGGGCCTTCCTGCGCGAGCTCGATGCCATGATTCGTCTGAGGAGCCCTCACACGGTCAACGTCTACGGAGCGGTCACGTCTCTGCCGGACCGCATGGTTCTCGTGATGGAACTGCTCTCGGGCGGTGACCTCCGAACGCTATTGAGGAATTATCAGCAGCCCCTTCCCGAGGAGCAATCCAGGCGCATCATCGGGGACATCTGCGCGGGAATGGCCTTCCTTCACAGCAAGGACACAGTTCACGGCGATCTCAAGTCGGCCAACGTACTCCTCGATGGGTCTGGACGGGCGAAGGTAAGGATGATGATGAGCTGCGGATATAAACATGTACAGCAACTGGTTTTCAAGGAGTCTGCTCGTATTGACGGAGTGCCGTGTGAAGCAATTACCGTAGGTTCGTGTTAACGTGCAGTGCCCTTTCCTATCCGACTGGCAATTTGTTCGTGAAGTACATCTTGACCCGCCCATCCCGATATCGTCATTTCGCGGTGTTGTTCAGATTGGAGATTTTGGTACCTCCAGATGGTCGCAGCACACAAACTCAACCGGCCTGGCTACCTATACCACCAGATCCAGTCCGGGCACCCAGATGAGCCTCGCCTGGAGCGCCCCGGAGGTACAGTAAAGTGTATACGTTCTCCCTTTGTCTATTCCGGGTGTAACAGGCACTACTCTTTCCATCACTAAGTTTCGGAGATTTTTTTTTTTTCTTCACACCTATTTCCAGAGTTCGAAGAGCGCCTTGCCACCCGGCGCATCTTGCCAGCACATTTGAACCGTGGTCGCACAGAAGGTCCCTCTCCCTGAAACCCCCCATTCCCGCTCCTGCCGTGCTTTGCCTGAGATGTTAAAACACGAGAAGAGTGCAGCACTCTCTTCCCTTTGCGTACACACGTCAAACGCTTTTCCCGACCAGGAACGCGTTCGAGAGAAACAACTATTTTTTTGTGAGAGAAAGCTCGCACACGCCGGGATTGGAACCCGTGACCTGGGCAGTAGTAGGTTTTACGAGGAGACCGCTAGACCACCGGGGCGACCGGTAGGAATGGTCGGTACTCTTTGACCGTAATGCGGCACCTGTCTTTCGGGATTCTGACACGAAAATTCCTGAAGTTTGACGGCAGTGAATGAATTTTGCGCCCCTTGAAATTTGATTGGGCCTGCGCGTTGTCCGGAATAGTGTGTTCTTGGTCGCAGTGTTCCTACATGCATATCGAGAGTTTCGCGCGTCCCAGGCTTAGCATTTTACAACGAGATCGCCAGTCGAGTTGGGCTCCTAAGCGCGAAGAAGGTGCTCATCTGCCGCCCGGCCTCCACTTTCACACACCGCTTGTCTGTCTATCTCACGAGGCAGTACAACTAAATACCTTTACTGTTGCTGCTTTTGTCTCTACTCGATACTTCAGGTGCTCGAATCTGGCGGTAGCACCCGCGCCAGCGATGTCTACAGCTTCGGCATCGTTGTGTGGGAAGTGGTGTCAGGCGAACTTCCTTGGGCAAACAAGAGCCGCCCTCGGGAAATACTGTCCGCGGTGTTGATGGGAGTGCGGCCTTCGTTCAATGACATTGCCCCCACCGACATGGTGGAAATCGCGAAGGCTTGCTGGGAAGGGGAACCCGACGCGCGGACCACCTTCGATGCCGTCATGGAGGGCATGATGTCAAAGGGCCGTCATCAGTAGTCTAGGCTCGATCACCTATTTTATGCCCAATCGCTGCGGTCAGGGCATGTTGTTGTGTGAATGGGATACTAGGGTTAAGGATTGGCCCCCCGCCCCCCAATGGGCCTGGGGGCCAACATCCCGGCCCGACGGTAGTGAGTGTCCGTGGGGAAGCAAAGAAGAAGAAGAAGGGTAGAGGATTTGTAGGGGGAAGAAGTGGAGAGGTAAGGAACGTGTGAAGAATTTTCGGCACTCGACGAGCGCGCGGTCCTGCGGAGGGGGAAGGGACGTGTGAGTCCATAGTCTGGTCTATCGGAAATTGTAAAGCCGAAAAACCGAAGTACACATTATGCACGTTATGATGGAGATTGCAATGGTGGCAACATTGAAACATTGAATTAGGCAGTGGAGGATGCGAGTGAGCAGACTTTAACAGTGTCAAAGTCGAGAAATCCGCGAGAATCCATGACGCAACAATGAATTGTAGGGTGTAGTTGGTGACTCAAACAAAAAAAACAGCAATTATCGCAGGAAATACCTTAGAGAAGGGGGGCATCACTCAGTGTTGATAGATACGTCCAAAATGGATACGACGGCAGCAGAAGAAAACGAAGCACGAAGATAGCAGACCGTAAACCAAAATCGATAAGTGTACTTAACGCGAACATGTAGGAGACGATGTTGACGGAGGCGCTGACTTCAACGTTGTGGGCGTTGAACATTAAGAGGAAGGTGCTGTTATAGCGCACGACATCACCGTCGTTTTCAGAACGCCGGTAGAGAGGATATCCCCTGGCGTCGAATGTCGTAGCTTGCTGGGCGGGCTTGGGGAAGCGCTTCTTGCATTGTGCGTGACATTCCCTGTAACACAAGCGTCGTTTGCTCTTGCAGCCAGTGTGAGTCATGAACTTGTCGACAATCGCGAATAGCTCCGGCTCCGACTGTTCGTCCGGCCATGTTGCCCTTATGTGGCGATCGACGTTGTCGGAGTTGTCGGGTGCCTCTTCATCACACACTGCACATAGAAATGGCCGCAAGGAGTAGACATCGCATGATATTATGGATGACACCTCATCGCGGGAAAAGGAACACCATTAGACGAGATGAACATAGAGCTGGGCGGACCATGAAGCAAAGTACACGCATAGCAGAGACGGTCGCCGGGCGAAACAAAAACAGTGTGTAGGTGTTGGGTCGATGCCAACACGAAGTAATCAGAATGTTCCATGAGATATGTCATTTCGTTGATGTAGGAAAGGGGTTGCGCTCACCTTTGAAAACGATGTGGGAGTGGGGCAGTCCTCGTTTCTGTCGGACACAAGGGATTTGCGGTTGTACACGTTGCGGCGCGCGATGGGGGCGGGACTCGCGATGAGGGTCGGCCGAGGAGTTAGGAAGAGGTGGTGGGATATAGATCGTGGACGGAACGGTACGCTCCCAAAATGACGTACCCAAATGACGTAGACAGACGTTGGTAGCAGAGGAATTCACCTGAAATTCAGTGACCGCGATCCTGAAGATGATTCTGCCGAAGACTTGAGGTAAAATCTGTAGGGTCGAAGTCCGGGGGGGTAGGAATGATCTGTGAGTGAAAATGTTTCCGCCAGGAGATATGCGACATGTACACGATGTGGAAGCGATAGGCGGAGTGTCTATGGACGTCGTATGAGTCGTGACACGAATAATCGATGGGGCAGAACGCAAAGAAACCATGTAATCACCTTGAGCAAGGCATCGAGTTTCTGTTTGAACACTCTGGCGCAAAGTTGGGCGCGATCGAAAGCCGTCTATCCCGGATGTAATCGTTCTCGTATCTCCGGCCATTCCTGCGGAGTGCGAAGGATGAGATAGATATGTGGATGTTTAGTGAATACAAAAAGGAAGGTTTTGTCTGTCGGTATACTTGTGTCGTACACGTGTTCGTACCGTAAGGACTCACTGTGTTGCACGTGACGGTGAGGAAGTATGATGGCCGCCCGAAGTGGCGTAGAATCGCCATGGACTCCGTCAGCTTCTTCGCTTGGTCGGCGAATCCCGCCAAAACTCGATGGGACGATGATGGCATCGACGGGATCGTGGTGGGGCTGCGGTTGCCGGTAACGTCGCGCAACTGCATACGCGTGGTGCATCGACGTCCGGTACTTGTCTTGGTTATGTGCGTGGAACGAGAGTCGATGATCTTCGATGCAACTGAAAACGTCGATGAGAAATTCGTTGACCAATGGCCCCAGTTTCTCGAATCGTGGTTCCCTGAACAACAACTGGGTTACCCATTGTGCTAACGTGATTTTGCGACCGGTCGTGCTCTTCAGGTCGGGGTGCCATCCGGATTCCCCACCGTGCGGAAACAGCAGGACGTATGTCAAAGGGAAATAGTTACGATTGAGGTAACTGATGGTGTTTATTTCCCCTGTGAGCGTCCTCGTCATGGTGGTCTTGTCTGTAGGCATGACCCCCCTGCTGCGGGTGTCCACAGCTATCATTTCTGACGACGGTGCACCAGGCGCGGAGAATGCCAAGGTGCTCGAAATAGCAGCCGATTCAGTCCTGGAAAAGGAACGGTGGAAGTGGAAATAATGTAGAATGATTCGCACCAGATACATGAGATGTGGAACGGATGGATCAAACAAAACTCCCGTTCTGCACCTCCCCAACATATCATAGAAACATATGCACGATATGGATACGAAGTGGTATGTGGGGATGTTGGCAGCAGGAAGCACGTTTGACATGTTTAACAGAGCCAAAAATGACTCGAATATTTTGCTGTAGTCTAACTTTAAGTATAGGTCGTGACGGTAGGCACCCACCGAGTGCTCATGGCGGCTTTGAGGCGTCCGACATAGGGTGATGTGGATCGCAACTCGCGCAGTATCGTCGTCATGGTCCCTTTGTCGAGGTGGCTAGAGACGAAGTTGGGGTCATGTAGGAGCCATTGAACGTTGGAATGGCCGCCGTCTCGAACAGAATGGTAAGTTCTGGCCAAAGAGATGGGCAGGAACGGTGTACATGGGGGAGAGCGCAGGATGTACGAACTTGTGATGCTGTGTGTGAATGGAATATGAACGGAGGAGGGAAACTATTGTTGATGTTAGTGACATTGTTTTTTGTATCGGAAGGTGTACGGGTATTGCATCGTACAGAAGAAAAGACGAAAATGCGCTTTTATATGGATGTATTGTATTTTGTAACACGAATAAAGATATATACGAAATATCACACGAACTAATCTACACTCAATTATATGCTATCGAACGAATCAAACGTGTTTTAAACTACGAAGGAAAATAGAAATGAAAGACCACACGAATGAATCTATACCTCATTATACAATTGTAGCATATATCGTTGCACATGTGAATCGATCTCACCTCCCTTGGACGGACAAGAGATGGTCACCGAACATTTTTTGAGTTCACCATCCTCCACGTTGAGCGAGGCGAAGTTGCATCGGCAGTTATACATCCTCGATTCCTTCCTGAACCTCTGCGCTGATGGCTCCGGAGAATCGTACAATTCTTTCAATGAAGGGGGTAGTGGCGGCAGTCGCGGGAGGATGTACTTCCCATTCTTGCAACAAATGCCCTTGGACTCTTTAGCGAACAGTTTGGCGCCACAATGCCGGCAAGGATCTCCGGTGTGCGCTGTGATGCCCTGGTCTCGTCGCGCCTCCTCCAAGGCTCGCTGACGGTCTCCAACAATGGCTCGTAGTGAGGTGGAGTCGTCCTCGGCGTGAAAGATGTCGTTGAAGGGCAACCCCCTTTTCTTGTTGATGACGGTCGCTCTACGCCGTCGACGTGCGGCGTTGAGCTGTTGTGCTCTGTCGGCATGGCGAGTTCTACGACGGCTGTTGATGGCCTCTGCCGACGCGGAATATTGTGCTCTACGATGGGCGTTGAGGGCATCGGCGGAGGCAGCACGCTAAGCCCCTCGACGCGTGTTTATGTCGGTGGCGTTGACAACTCGGTACCGGCGGTTCCTTGTGCTTGTGTCGTCTCGACGGCGGTTGTCGCCGCGATCTCTTGGATCGGTCATGAGTTGGGGTGTACAGTGCGTGGTAAAGCACTGGGTTGCTGTGTGGTAGGGTTGAGCGCTAGAAACCTATTGGTGGGGCTGGACGTGTGAACGACGTGTGTGTCGTCTTTCGGAATCTTTAGGAAGTCCCAATAAAAATATTCAATTTTTCCCGATTGCTGTGTCGGTGTCATACTGCTTACTTCATCAGTTGATGCTGATGTGCACCGAAAGTCGGGTAATACGAGCCTTTTTCCACACTTGGCGTCCGGCTGTTTCAACCTGATGGTATTACATGTTTGGGACACTCAGGCGCACGATCATGGTTTTTTTGCCCTTTGCAGTTGGCATGGACTCCAACACGTACTCGGTCTTTCCTGTAATTCCGCAGTTCGCATCATCCTCACGGGGTGTCTAGTGTGATGGCGGTAGATTGAATAACCACTGCAGCCGTCCCCAAAAGATGCAAATCTTCGCGGGTACATCAAAGAAGAAAGCCATTTCAATTGGCAGCGCCTGCGACACGTTTTTGGGTCTTCTGGTGGAGAACTACGTTGTAGTGTTGTGATTAATTGTTCGCGTACTCACTCCAGGAGGTATATTCAATGGGTCGGACGCCGGAGCACGACGAACTGGTGGCAAACGTCCCAAATTGTCGAGGGCGATCGATAATATTAGGGTATTTCAGTTTGGTGTTTGGATTCGAACCCAGATGTGTGGAAGAAGTCCGGCGTGTACTAACAAATTTAATGTGAAATAGACTACAGGTTACCGTATTCTTCTTTTCCAACTTTTCTTTTGTCATCCTATCTATGTGACGTCACGAAGTGGAAAATGTTGCCATTCATTTTATCCTTTCTTGCGTCTCCGGGGTAAAATCGTTAAAAAAAATGAAACGGAACATGGACTTCGTAAAGATCCACCGGCCTCCGGTGGTGTCAAACAACAATGTCAACCTGAAGTTGTCCTGCTGTGAAGCAAAAACGAGATATATACGTATCGACTTA